TCAGGCTGGTTTTCGACCTGAATGTGGTTGTATAGACAAGATATTCACACTACATCAGTTGGTAGAACATAGACACACATTCAGACGTCCCACAATAGTAATATTTCTCGACCTTAAGGCGGCATTTGACTGTGTTGATCGTGAGGTTCTATGGCAGTGTTTGTCACTGAAAGGAGTACCAAAGAAGTATATTAACCTTATACAGGCTCTCTACTTGAACACAACTGGTCGAGTGAGAGCTTATGGCGAACTGTCATCAGAGTTGATTACCTCAAGTAGTGTTCGTCAGGGCTGTCCACTCTCCCCATTCTTGTTCAACTTTGTGGTCGACGTACTTTTAGAGATAACACTCTCCTCATCTAAATTTCCAGGGGTTGAACTTCTACCGGGAGGTTCACTTGTTGACTTAGAATATGCTGATGACATAGTTTTATTTGGTGAAGACGTTGACAAAATGCAGATACTTCTGACCACTCTAAGCAACAATGCAAGCATGTTCGGGATGCGATTCTCCCCCTCGAAATGCAAAATGTTGCTTCAGGATTGGGTTACATCGACACCCGAACTAATGATAGGGAGTGAAGTATCGATCGCTTCACTTATCTCAAAAGTCTCATCAGCCCTTGTGGTCTGGTGTGTGACGAAATCTCAGCACGGATACAGAAGGCTCGACTAGCTTTTGCCAACTTGCGTCATTTATGGCGTAGCCGAGATATCTGTTTATCAAACGAAGGACCGGTTTACTGCGCAGCAGTTTGTTCCGTCCTACTTTATGACAGTGAAACATGGCCGGTAAGAGTAGAGGATATTCGTAGGTTACTAGTTTTTGATCATAGGTGTCTTCGAAACATTGCTCATACATCCTGGGACCATCTAATAAGTAACGCAGTTGTTAGGAAACGGGTACTAGGTAAGGATGGCAAATCAATTGACGAATTAGTGAAACTTTATCAGTTGAGATGGCTGGGACACGTGTTACGTATACCCAACGACCGACTGCCTCGACGTGCGATGTTCAGTGGTATAGGAATAGGTTGGAAGAAAGCCAGGGGTGGCCAGACCGAAACGTGGCACAAATCCATGAAGTCACTGACAAGTGGACTGAGCCATGTTGGTAGGTGTAGAATACCTGGTTGGGATCCGCGACACAACAACAACCGATGGTTAGAGACCTCGAATGACATGGCTCAAAATCGTTTGCAATGGCGCAGGTGCATCCACTCTTTGTGTTCTCCCAAATTTTGATCTCCTGATTCCCCCTTGTCTCTTTTTTTCTCTTCCCAAGTTTATTTCCCTGTATTATACTCTTTAAGTAACATCTCCAAACACTAATCTTTCCGATTACTGCTTATACTCTTATTACCTCTACCACTATGGGATTTGAATCGACCACGGCATCTCTGTGCTAATGTGGCGTGGCAACTCGAACTGATGTACGTACGTACGAATTTCTACGTTGTTACTGACTGCCTGACTGACTATAGGCTCAGAAAGTGGCTCCTTATGAGAATCACCTACTTCAGTTTGATCAACCGAGGAGTATATCCCAGCTCACGTAATATTTCAAAGATGTGCACGGTGCATACATATACGCATACTATAAACGATGTTCAATTGCAATCAAACGAAATTGAGATATTATAAATGAACAAAACGGAAAATAATACAAATAAAGTACATGAATGCGTACGTGTAAGTTAACATGATGGGTATAAGCAATACAGATGCGCTAGCAACCAGCGAGTTAATGTGAAATAAGTTGAAGCACTCTAACACAGTGACTGGTTTAGAAAGATTACTGATGATGTTTTTCTGTCTTAATTGACATCAACTGTCTAAAATTTTGTGCATCGTTTCCTGGTCAGATGGCCGTTATGTAACAAAATACTTGACGACTTTCTTATTGATGAGGCTTGTGATTAGACGAGACAGAACAGTGGTTTAGAGTGTTATTTCACAGGTTGTAAGTAAAATTTGCTTTGAAAGGTACTCAAAAATACAAAACAAGTTGAAAGACTGAAAACTTCACACGAGCAAAATAATGACAGCGACAGTGAAGAGCGTGTAAAAGGCGCTATCCTTATACTGTTGGGTGAAATAAGATTTATTTATTTATTTAGCTAATCCCAAGAGAAATTAATTTATTATCGAGTTAGCCAAGGAGGGAAAATGTAATTGGACTGTACGGTTATGGCTTGTAAAAAGAGGGCTTTGGTCAAAAGAACCAATAATTCATTTTCTCTTAAGCATTTAGAAAATTGGTGTATGCAAATAACGTGATAATATGTGGGTAAGATCAAGTATTTGCTAGAATTGACTAAAATGCTATAAAATCCTAAAATTATTGATAGAATTATAGAGGCAAAAAGAAAAGAATTAGAAGGTAATTGGATGCGTATCGTTTTAAAGGCATCATGTATAATGAGAAAACTGAAAAGCATCAGATATAATAAATTAGCGAAGAATCCATGCCTACTTACACCCTTTAGAACTGTGAAGAGAAACTTACGTTTATGCGTATATAAGTGTTAGTGCCCTAGAGATGTATATGGATAAACTGTTATCAAAAGACATGGTCACTAATCATTTATTGAGGGGATTGGATGACATCCAATAAAGTCTTTCGATGACAGTTCCTAAGCTTATAATTGATAGAAATTGGCTAAAAATCAAAGTAGACAACTAAATTTGGTGTGAAGTTTAAATAGTTGACAGAATAGTAATTTTATTATCCATCAAGAAACCATATTTCATAAATATTATCATCGTGTCAACTGCTTTCAGAAACTTTACATTTGATACCTTAATAATTGTTTTCTTTTGATATAAAACCCACTGAACAAGTGCAGGACCTTGATTTGTTATTTGTTAAAGTGGAGTATATTAATTTTGAATAATTCGGCACAGAATATTTTTTTATTTTGAAGAAACAGACAATTATTGTCTGCACATACTTATTAAAAATACAAAGATGACGTAATCACAGAAACGATTCATGCAGTAAATTAAAGCATAGAAGCGACAGCTAAATTCTAACGTATCATACAAGATCAACGTATTCACTCACATAGTTTTACAAAAAAAACCACCTTAGAGCAGTAGAACTTATCAGCACTAGCAGCAAAAACACAGTAAATCGTTTTCAGCTCATGATGAAAATTAAAGAAAAAATGCTGATCAATACTTGGACCAACAATTATTCATTGATCGCTTGTTAAGTGAAAATAATTATAGTTATCTAAGTGTTTGTTTCAGTGTTTTTTTCGAAAATGTGTACTGTATTAATATTATGAGGTAGAAAAACGAAAGATATATTTGTGAAACTTTGACATAGTAACCATCAACTGGTGGCGGGACAAACTCTGGAGAATGTCTTGAACCTTAGATGAAGCTGAATTATCACTAACGAAATGACATAATTAGTCTAATGTCCAACAGCAAGCGCTGACAGAAATATTGAGTCCCAAAACCGTTCTACTTTTCAGTTAGTGACATATAAAAGAAGAATAGGGTTTTAAAGCCAGCCTCCAATTTTGAATTCAATTCAGAACCTGAAATTATACTTGGGGCTTGGTAAGGAAAATATCAACATTTATCAAAGTCTAAGATTTATTGAATTATATAATGAGTTAAGACTTGTTGCATTTTGCCATGATTATCACAAACTGACTCGATAAGGTGATTCAGAAACCGAGGACAATGACAAAAACATACACAATAAAAAAGCGCACTATTTCGCCGGTAATTCTTCAACTAGATAACCGACAATTCAGATGATAAAGAGAGATATGTGGTTTATGCCAGCTCCAACTGACAATGATATAGTGTGAAGTGAGCGGGTGTTCGCGAAAAATATTGAGAAGTACTTAATCGTCGACCAATAAGTATAAGTTGGAAAACATTCGTAGATGAGATAAATTCAAAATGAAGATTTGAAAAACCCTCGCTTAGCCAATGATACCATCTGTACAGTCAAATGAATCCCACGATGCATCTGTTTCAGAGGGATTCACTTCCCAAATTTATATGAAGAATTGGAAAAATATAACACAGTTGAGATTATTCATAGAAAAAAGTAATGAACTGGACAATACTTGAATTATAATGGCTTTTTTCTCGCATTAATTACAAGAAATCTGTGTTCCTTAAACTTTTCTTTTGAACATAAGATTTACCGAAGTATTCGTTATGTTGGATATGAGAGATACTCTCAACGTTACGAGATATGATACATAACCGACAGCAAGCTACAAATAGCCAACTTTTACAAAGCCAAATTATTTTGCTTTGTATCAAAAGGAGAATAAATATCATCATAGATTGGAAATGCACTGAAAAAGACAACCTGGTGCTAGAGAAGTAAACATAAAATACGGACACATCAAGTCCAATGCTAGCCATATTTATAAACTACCGATGCGTAATCACAAGAGATGCAATGGACTGCACAATATTAAATTAAAGTCTCTTAAAATGTCGAGGTAATAAATATCCTAAGAACATTGAACTTACTGCTAGCATTGCTCTCGAAGACTTAAAATCTATCGATGATCAGTTTCTTATCGTTATTTTCTGATTTATTAGTCTCATTTTTGACAAGCCTATATGGTATCAGATGTCGATTAATTCATTTCTATGTAAGGTGTGGAAATATATGCTCTGTTGGGAATGCAAGAACTATTGGTGTCATTAATTTCATTATAGCAAAGTAGATGAGAGCTGGTGGGTTGAATCTTGAGAATTTTGTTTCACTTTTATTATCTAGGTCATATTTCTCATCCATTTATTTGTGTTAGGAATCACGATTTTCCAGTTGACAAAAATTATAAAAAGAGCATAATTCATGAGCCCCATTCGTTCTTACTCAAAATCATTTAAAGTACAGAAACTATTGGAATGTTAAAAGGAATAGTTAACTTACCGGAAAGATAAAAGCAGAAATACAAAGGTATTTAAAAGCCAACACATTTTATTTACTAGATATAAAAAATTTGACTTGCCTGTCAAGTGGGTCTTCGACAAACCATAGCTCAACGCATAGGAAAAGATCGTTTCTTATTAAAGACTCCTCTAAATTGATCGGATCAACTTGGACCAATACCCTCTGTTCAAACACATCACATAACTTTGCCGATTCATCTCGATACATGATCAACAATGTTTTACTACATGCTTTGTCTGGTGTGTAAGCTGGAACAGAAACACTCGGCTCGATATAACTGGCTTTTACAGCTTCTGGCACTTTAAATCGTGTACTAGCTCGTTCCCAACGGGATGGCGGTTCAACAAAGGCCGGCGATTTACCATTGTTAGATCCAGTAGTCCCTGTTGTCTGTACACCTGTTTTTAAGTGAGTACGAACTTGGTAATAGCTATTTCAATTAATGATTATCATGAACAGCAAATAACTCACCCACGATGGTAGAGATCAATATTATGAAAATCTCGTAGTTCTACAACAAACGATAAAGTAGCTTGGATTAAGGGCATCAGCACCTAAAAAGTCAAGTTTGAAATACAATAAATGATTTAAGGTGTTATTAAAAAAAGTCAAATTATATCAAACAATAAGACACAAGTTCGATTAAATATAATGAAAATGAACCCCAAAAAAAGACTACTGATCAGAGCAGTGTAATGAAGTGAAAAGTGAAAGCGATAAGAGTTAGGCTATAATTTATAGCCGAACCAATCAGATTTAGGATAGCAGATCTTGGATTTTGGCACGAAATCCACTCACTCATTTGGCCAGATAGCGTTTTGGCATTTTAGCTTATGCTAGTCCGTAAATCTAATTCCTAGCTCAAACCATCAGCTGTGAATTCTAATCCTTACTCTTCAAACTGCTCTATAATCCTCATTCAGCTTTAGTAGACACTCAAGGTTACTTCGGCGTCGCTCAAAGGTCGTCCATAAATCACAGTCTCACCGCGATAAGAAACACCTTTTTATAGTTAGTTGTGTAACGCATGCTTGAGGCTGAGGCGACAAGACCGAGACGGTATAAAAAGTAACAGTAGTAGGTTAGGTCGTTCCGGAAGCCTGAAAAACGGGGATAGGGTTAATTACAATTATCTTAAACACTTTATTCTGCAACCGAATCTCTGATATGAAAGGTTGTTTTGCCTACGGAAATATTATTCAGACAACAAATCACTGAATTGAGACTGAATGTTGAGATAAACATTTTATAACCAACTAACGCAACTCTGTTTTTTATAAAAAAGTATTAGGTCAAAGTGTTAAAGTAAATGCGAATTACATGCATAATTGTTGTGAAGTTGCCACGTGAAGGCTAGGTGAATGACTGTGAGCTCAGAACATAAAATAAAACTTTCAGTGAAGCATCGAGAAATAAGATGTCCCACAAGTGGAATAACGAATATGTTTTATTAAAGCGTGTGGAACCAGGTACGTACATAAATACTGAGATCGGTAAAACGATTTGAGCAGAAAAAACCTTGGATGCAGTCAGAGCATTATGATCCATCCACAAATGTTCAAAATGCCTAACACCACTAAACGCAACGATACGAATCGCACTAAGGGCCTACCGGATAAGAAATTACTAGATCATTTATTGCGCCTTTTTTAGGTTACTTCTAACTAATCAAAATAGTACGAATAAATCACTGGCATCTAAAACAATAACTATGCATATAATCTTGTATTTATAGTTCTGGCTAAAAAGCATGTGTATTTTGATTGCTCGTGTAAGCCTTAAAATGTTTGAATTCAGAGTAATGCTTAAGAACATAGGGGACATGTTTGGTTTATTTCTAGCTTACGTTGAGTGATCCATATAAATGCACAGATGTAATTGACGGGCTTGGGAGCTGTTCATCAGGTGAGGAGACCTATTTTCAGCAGGGACTTGAATCATTTTTTGGGTTTGAATTCGCTCAGCAAGTCTAAGGTCGTCTCGGATATTCCTGGTTGACAACGCTGTTGTAATAATTTTATGATTAAAATATATTAAAACTTGTCAAAATGAAAGTCGAAAATGCAGGAGATCAAGGGTAAATTTGGAGGGTTTTCAATATACAGAGAGGTTTTTGACCTAAGCCGGCTAATAGCATTGAGTACCCTGTAACGATCTGATTCAGATGCGTAACCGAACACCTTCACCAAGGGTGTATCCAATAAAGTTATTGAGGTCAGCATCAACATCAGATACTTAAAAAAACTCCTTGTTTCAAAGCTTTATTTACCGTTACATGGTCTTTCAGTTGTCCTTCAAGTTGGGAACTTTTCAAGATGCAACTGATAACCTGTTTGTTACTTGAGAGAAGCGTGTTTGTGCTCACGGAATGGTGTGGTTATCGCTATGCTTTCTTATGAGAGTGAAATGTCAAATAAATTTTGCGATAGAAGTGGTAAAATATCCTCCAAACTAAAGTATTCATGAGCCATCCCTTAGAGGATTCCGCATGGGTTGTCGTTAATATCTCTTCGAGTAAGGAGTTTGATAAACAATTGATTCCAAAAGTCATAATGTCTAAACGAAATACTTTGATATCTTTTCTACGTTTAACCCTATATGTTAATTCTTTCAGGCATTCACTACTGGAATTCTGCATTTGTCAGAATTGAAAACAATGCTGTTTCTGTCGAAAATTCAAAATAACCAATAGCTTTGTATTAAATGATTTACTCGGGAGAAAGATACATTGTTATTTGGAGGCTGTGGGATGATTGCTTGAATATTTTCAGAGGAATCTTTTGATGACTCTTTCCATAACCTCAGCTGCAGTGGGAAGCAAAAATTTCAACCACGATTCTTAATTTTATAAGTATCCAGATCCAAAGTGTTGAATGTGAAGGGTACCTGAAAGGTCAGTGAAATGTCACTGAGCCCTAACCAGACCATCCAGCACTTTGGTCACTGAATATAGAACAGATCATCGATCTCTGTGAAGGTAAAGAACAACCAACGGGCATCAGTTAATCTTATGTCATGGAATCGCCGATACGGTGGTGGTCTCACTATCTTCTCTGCACTCATTCTTACTAATACATTTCCGTAACAACGTCTTTTGTGTTTTACGGTTTAAAAGGCATCCATAGTAACTTGATACGACGAAAGGATAATCCACGTCAGGTGCTGACCACGAGGTGTGATTTCGACGTTAGCTATTGGTCAGACCATTCCTGTTTAACTCGAGTAGGCCACAATTGTTCATCGTAAATCATCAACGTTGATGAACTACATACGTATTCTTTTTGAAATAATGCAATCTTCGTAGGGTCTCATAGTATTGGGATATCAAAGAAGTATCCATCACACGAAAAAGATCGCCTTTAAGATTATTAATCATCTATCTCCGTTAAAGCGGTAAATAATTTCTCAAATCAATAGCTTTGTAAGTCTTCGCCATTGGACGCTGATAACAATAGATTTAGTGGAGTTACCTAGCTGAAGGCGCTCGGTCATGCATCCTCACCAGATCAAGAATGAGAATGTCTTGTTCAACTCCCCCTGCAATCACTAGCCTCATTATAGCAGTCGACTCTCGATATACTGATAGGCTATCAAAGATACCTTCGAACCTCCTCGCTTCTGACCTTTGATTTCACTAGGTGGACACGATTCATATGATACGGTGTTACTGGTTAAAGTACTGTCAAAATCCAAATATCTGTGGCACTTCACCGTTAACAGAGTCATGCTCACTATTTCGGACATGTTTTGCATTTTTATTTAGCAGTATGATAGTCCGTTCTACGAAAAAAGCCGTACGAGGCACATTCGACTTAGACTTAGTGGACGCGATAATGAGTGATAACAAAATATAATAATTTTCTTTTTCTTCCAATCTATTCTACTATACAATAGTTCCTGAGAGGGCACATTGAGCTGTGTTGTTGAATAAGTTGAACCGCCCTGTTAAGTTTGAAATATATGTAAGTTAGGATTAATTACTTAGATAGAAGAGGTTAGAAACTTTAAAGTCACACTTCAGCAGTACTTATACAAATTTTCAAGGTTTCCCTAAACCTTTTGAAGAAATGAACCCTTCAAGAAAATCTGACTTTGAATACGTATATATTTCTCTGTAAACAATCACTTGAATAAACCCAGATATTCACAGATCTTGAGAAGAAAGTGTATAAGCAAAATCGTAGTTGTAAGGAAGGTCAAATTAAACACACTGATCAGGTGAATCCTGTACAAATGTCACACCATAACAGACAAAACACCTTTTATATTAGCCATTAAATCGAGATCGAGTGACTATTTTTTTATTCACTTTCCAGCATATTTACTTTGCAAACACTCTGACTATCTGATTAACGTTTGTCTTTGCCGGAAGGACAGTTGATGCACACACTACTTTATTCAATTTTATTCTATCCCCAACTACTACTTACAAAACTATTTGCAACTTACAACAATATCGAACGAACTCCTTACTCCTTACGTGCCAAATACCAGTTTCAGTGTCGACAAAAATACTCTCTTATGAAAACACATGAACGGACATAAACTCATGTGTACATGAGAATTTAAAATGGATATTATCGCCAAAACTAACAGAATCACTGCCAGAATTAATAACAAGCATAACCAAGAAAACGTTATTGACATTAGTAACAGAATGAAGGATGACACAACACACGTTTTGACGCGTCCATTAAGTTTCTCTTCTGAGAACATATTGGTTCTCGGAAAAATGCCGCAGGATTTTGGTTTTCTAATCTTCCTTGTCAGTAATTAATCGATACAAATAGCCAGAATGAAAGAACTCAAATAAAAATTAATGACCATACATACCAGTTACCAAAGGAAGATATATTCGGGGCGAAATCGCAGGCACCATAATGCGATATTATGTGATGCGATCCATGTATTTGACCACAACAGAGTTAAGCAAAGCAATCCGAGGAAACACATGGGATTTATCGTGAACGCAACTAAGGTAAGTGAGAATTAATGTTGAGGATGGCACAGGTATTCAGGGTCTGACATCGTTTTACAAGTAATACCTTCTAGCATAACTCGTACTCACTAAGAGAAATCAAAAGACAGAATCGAGGAGATCGGAAGAGTGTATTTGGCGATAACCAACATATCGGAATTGTCTGATCTAATCTGGCTAGCAATTGCAGTAGATGTTGAGCATGACGTTCCCACACGTGATCTGGTGAGGATGCATGACCGAGCGCCTTCAACTAGGTGAGTCCATTGAAACACGTGGTCAGCATCCAAGGTGGAAAACTTACAGAGCTATTTATTTTGGGGATTTATTTACCGCTACAATGTCATTTCATACACATACTTGCTCAAGTTGATCGATTCTATTGACCCAGGTGACATCTGGTGTAAAGCACGTTTGTTGGAAATGAAAACTTCAAACACCAATTCAGTGTACATCATGAGTAGCAATTTGACGGTAAACAACAATGAAACTCCTCATAGTATGTTGAAATACTGCTTTCTGTAATAATGTATGTCTGGTCATAGGAATTTCTTTATTTTTTTATCTTATTTGTTCTGGTTGCACCGCTTGACTAACAGCATTCGAATGTTGAATTGTTCGATCGTATAAAATGAGTCTGATTTGGCATTCATCTAAACACAACAGAGTGATGTATTGGGATGATGTGGTGTTGTGTAATAGAGTGTGGTGAGACGAAGTGAAGTGGTGTTGTAGTGGGGAGTGGCGAAATGTGTCGCTGACTTGTGAAGCGAAATTTGGAGAAGCAAGAGGAATTGAGTTGAACTGAGGTGGGTGGGAGTAATATGAGTGAAGGTGCATATAATTGTTCCACTTAGTCATTTCTTGAGTGGATAATATAATGCTATATTGATAGGTTATTTCATTTCCACAGAGAGCTGAATCATCACCGTTAACATACAACAAGTTTTTCGGTGCAAGCCTACAATGTCACAGATGTTTTAGTTGTCGTTTGTATAAAGACGCATGACGTTATGAGGTTAACTTAGTGGCATTCGTTCCTAAGAATATGACCCTTGGAGCTGAACATGCCATATCTAACAACATATCTAAGAACTCCTAAACATTTGATTTAGACAGCATCTCTCGATTACGCGGTGGTGGTCACTGAGTTTAACTCATTCCTTCAAACACCAAATATATTATTTTATCCCCAACTCGAGTCTGTTATTTAGGGGTTCACAGAAAGCACACTGTCACGATAGGACGATTCATTATAGGCAATGATGCGGCGTTCATATAATATCATATAAAATAAGTGGTCATATCTTGGCATTTCCACAGTGTTGGGTTGGTTCCATCATTCTGATAGTATAGAAGTAACGACCGGACTACCAGTAGTCGGTTTGAACGCAGGACTGACAAACCAAAATTTACTCGAATAGGCCAGACTACGTTATTCTGTATAGCGTACGAAGCGTTTTCGAGATACGCATATTAAATTATATCAGAAAACAAACTCTGTGCTCAATTTAAATGGTTCTAATTTAGGAAATAGAACAAATTATATCAAAAATACAAAATACTTCGAAGAGTACAGCCTGTGCTATATAGTCAGAAGATTCTCTAACGCAAAGTAGCGCGCTAGACAATAAAAGAAATAGTTAGTACCAAAGGGTTTGATACCTGAGCATCAACAAAAATATTCCCAAAAAGATGGGATCAAATATCCATCTACATGGATTCCAGCAATTCTCCCAGGCAGACAGTCAAATGGTTAACAGCTACACACCGAACCACGCCATGACCTTGAGCTTAGTCAAACACGACCTTACTGTCGATTACCCGGCAACATACAATGGAAAATTAGGCAACAAAGATAATTCTTTAATTAAAATCACATAATAAAAGCTGAGACGAGGAAGACTGAAGAACAAAAAGTGTGGTCAAAAGAGGCCTTCGTCGAAGGTTCTTAGGCCTATAACCTCTCTCATCCTTTGTAACATGTCCGTCGCAGAACCGTGTTGCAGGTCTATGTTATTAAATAGTTGGTCTAACCTTTGTCGATCGGTTAGGTCTCCTCGTTGGAGGATAGAACGCTTTAAGGTTTCATACGGTTCAGAAACATCACTAGTAAACGTACTGAGTATTATGTACAGGTTGAATTCCCGCGGTAGTGCCTTGACTACTGCGAGGAATTGTGCACGTGTGTAGTTCACGCCGTGCTCGTGGAAGTCGGCTTCTGCGTAGCAGAACCCGGCTTCGATATTGTCAGGCCAGAACAGCATGAGTTGGAACGAGGGTAGGGACAAAGTCTTACTCTTAAATACCTTAGGAGTCTGTTCGGTCATAGGGGAATATTAAGTACGAGAATACGAGGAAAAAATATATAGATATCCCAAAACACGGGATAAAAATGCATAAAAAATAAAAAATAAGGCAATAATATAAAAAATCCCAAAATGGAACAGACTCACAGTTGCAATTAAGTGTACCAGATCACGTCGGGCTCACTAATGAAGATGGCACAGGTATTGAGTGTTTGACATCGCTTTTACAAGTAA